GTTTTATTTTTAATTTCAGTTCAGGTTAGATTTTTTTGTGCACAACTCAGATTTTCTGTGTGCAGAGAGCGTGCCAGCAGTGCGCAATCAGAGGGTAGCTTAGAGGGAACATTGCTTATATCTGATATATCCACCATCCCTCCCCTGCACATGTCCAAAGCACCTTTCCTCCAAAATGCTCGACCCAAGCGGTTCCTCTGATGTACTCATTTCTAAATCTGTCCATTCTTCTCACTGCCAATGAAAATTCCTCTTTTGGTACCCCATCATACGCTTTCTCTAGATCCACAAACCCAGTGCAGCTCCTTCTGACATTCTCCACCATCAAACATGCAGTTTAAGGTGCTCTTTCTCAGCGTGAAACCATACTGCTGCCTAAAGATAATCTCTGCTCTCCTCTCTTCTTAACCCAGGGTTAGAAATATTCATTCTTAAACATCATCATGTAACTGAAACAGATTTCTGCAGTCTTAGTAGTTTTGCTTCTTATATCAAGTCAAATTAATAAATGCTGCTAATTTTATCAGAAAGCATGTTTTAGTCTTGCTTTTATCTCACTGTGGTAAAAATGGTGGGTCATTGAAGGCCATTAGTTCAAGTCTGATTGTGTCCCTGTAAGTGTCACTTCCTCTTTGCTGTGCTTTCTAAGATAACACTGTAACACAATCAGTTCCTGGAACTGGCTCCATCTGGAACTTTCAACTCGCAGCTGTGCAATCCCTGTGTGATAAATGCATGTCAGCACAAATTCAGAAATAAGACCAAGGATCACCTCCCAAAGATGCGCTACAGTTGGTGCATCAGCCCAGGAGTGCTCTGCATTCAGCCCGCTCTTCCCATTCTTGTAGATCACAACGGAGAAGGATTTATCAAACCACCTGGGAGAGGAGAGAAGATAAAGCATAAAAGGAGATGCGTGTTGACACAGCTTGTGTAAAGGTTGCCACCCGAGTCGAGTCGCAGATGCAGAAATAAGAATCCTGGCTTTAGACCAGACAAAACAGACTGGAACATATCTCTGGTCTATAACCAGTGTCACAACAACAATGATACCGATGCCATGCAGATTTTGTATTCTTAAAAACGCATTTAGTTTAGACGACTACCCTGCGAGACAAACTTTAAATCTGTCAATCCTTTCTGTCAAGGTTTCCTGTGTGGAGTCCAGATCAGCCTCAGGTGTCCGTTTGGTGTCTGTAGCTGAATTTCAATGAAGAAAGTAAAGGATTAAATAAAGGATTCATCACAATCCTTTAATTTTACATGCCTGATAGTGGTTTTTGTCACCATCACAAACCAAAGGAGAATCGCTGGCAGCCTGAGGCCTGTGAGAAGTGGAGTAATCACAGACATGTTGCTGTGGAGGAATGTTTCTGTGACCTCAGTCCTGAACTCCTAGTAATGCACATTTATTCTCCAGAGATGTAATTATTACTGTTGGCATCATCTCCATTTTAACTGCTGTGACACAATGACTTTGCAACTTCTGGGACAAATAAAGTCGTCATTATCTTGGTTGTATATAAGTAACAAATTCACAATGATAGC